TCCCATTATCTTTCAGATGGAGGAGGCTCATTCGATGCTACTTGCAATCATTGACACGCGGGAGGGCAGAAGGTGGAAGGGCATTATGAAATTCCTTGATTTTTATAATAACCGCATAGGAGGCTATTAAACGACACAGAAAAAAGATTGAATTGGAGACAAACCAAAAAAGTTAGAAAGGCCATTGTTTCTAACGAGAGTACTATGAGAATGGGCCGTCTGCCAGTCGGTCGGGGTCAGGGGTGACCCATCAATAGGAAATCAACGGGCACGGCCTATCGGAGTTATCGCGATGGAAGAATGTCATGCAGAAGNGGGGAGGGTGCGATCAAGAAAGCATTTTCAAAGTTAGCGCACCTGTCCGTCCAGTATCAGCTCAGCTGCGCGATCGATATTTCCTGCTGACTCTATAAATGCCCAGCAAGCCTCTTCTGTTCCAACTTTGGGGAACAAGCTCTGCAAGAAGAAAGGATCTCTCGAATTTTCCACTGTAGTTCTTCTATACAGCAAAACCGATCACATTACTTTCAGGTACTCGACTGCTGTTTCGTAATCAGTCGTCATCGATTACCCAGTAGCTTTGATAGACAAGTTCGAAAAAATGACTCTCCTCCTTCGGCAGAGTGAAGAAGCTGCACTATGCTTCGAATGAGAAAGTGATTCAACAAGAAAAAACTGGGACAAGTTCGTTGGTATACAGCCCCCAGTGCCGGGTTCTCCAATTAAATCGTTGATTTTCTACTGGTACTGTTGGAAGAACGAAAATTTAGCGGACATGATACCGCGGAAACGAAAAAAAATAGATTGATATATGTTTCTAAGTATCCATGTTCGACTCTCAAGGAATTTTGGCATAGCTTCGCGTTATTTTATAAAACTTTTATAAAAGCTGCTACCAGAATGATGAATAAGCTCTTATCGACTTACGTTCCGGCGTTATCGCCTTCTTCAGAGTCTGGAAACCTGAAGATTATCGCTACCCATCCCTCATTGATCAAAACTTTAAGAAACCGTTTCCCAAGACCTAATGTTTCTAGTGGGCATGATACGGCCAATAATAAGCAGTGTAGGATGACTCAGAGAAAAAATTTCATGGCTACTAAACCTGGTCCTAGTACAGATGCTACAGTACTTTCCTGCACACCTCACCAATACTAATATGTTCCTCGACCGGTTGCAGGAAGCCTGTTTCAGAGCCAATCACGTCATGGAATCTTTCGATGGTACGTCCCTTTATACTAACGTGCCGAGTAAGAATATTATGCAGGCCACTCTGGATCTGCTCAAGGAATGTGAACCGTTGGTAAACACCCATAGCCTCTCCATCACCCAGATAATTGTTCTGATAAAAAGAGTTTCTTGAGTGCTCCATTTTTAGGTGGTCCGGCCAATATTATAGGCAAATCAGCAACTGGCCAAGGGGCAGCGGCTGGCAGCCGTGCTAGCCATAGCTTATATGTCCAAAATAGAAAAGCCGTAACTGGATCGCCGGCCCATTGTGTACTGTCACCACATAGACGACTACTTTGTCGACTGTTCAACGGAGAGAAAATGTACACGCGTTTTGACCTGCTCAACAGACAAGCAGAAAACATTAAACTCACACGTGAGAAGCCGAAAGATAATTGACTCCCTTTCTTTAAAACACAAGTTAGGCTTGAAGAACATTTTTACCGTACCGAATGGTATCGGAAACTCAGAAACAAAAACATTGTTGTACACTTCAATACGGCACATTTCCTCAAAACAAAGCGAGATATCAAAAGTAACATGTTTAGGACGGCCATATTGGTGTGATCGGGAAGGCAGCAATGAACGGACTCTTTGGGACTTGCAGAAAAATCGCACTCCCCAATCGTTACCCTCCGGCTCTTAAAAACAGTTATGGAGCATATAAAAAGGAACATGGTCCCAACATCGATAGCTCGGATGAAGTAGCGTTCTGTACTCCTTATATTAGGGATGGTATGAGCTCTGAAATAAGGGCGACGCTGCACAGGTGTGGCCTAAAGGACATGGTGCGAGTGGCCGAAATCCCATCTGAAAATCTGAAACAACGGCTGATTCGAAACCGCTGCTACGACCGAATCTACCTGACTCCCAATTGCGTGATCTGCCCCAATGGAAAGGAGGGTGACTGCATGACACCAGGCGTGATCTACCTGATCAAATGCAACCTATGTGAGGATGAATATATTGGGAGACTGGACGATGTATGACCTGGCCATGGGGAAGAGTGATGATTCGAAATTATTTCAAGGGAGTGAAGACTATGCCACATGGCTGCATTAGGATTCCAGAGCAATGGACTGTAAAACATTTTATTCAGTATCGTTTTTCCCGTGAAAATTCCGTCAAAACATTTTTGTAATGAAATAGCCACCGGAATGCAAACTGGTTCGAAACTGTAACAATTAAAATATAATAATACAAAGGCGGTTGACATTGGCGAAGCATCGATCTAGAATTTTTAGACTTAGTATCGTCTTAAGTGTTGATTTCACAGTAGTACATGATGCGAAAGTTAAACAAGATTGGCGATTAAGGGGTAAGACGAGACTCGCTTCGTAATTTATGCGTTCCGAGTACCGCGCTATTCATTACTCGCACAACGAGCGGCGCCTGCCCTCGCTTTCTTGGGGCTTTTTTCACGCTATAACTTACTGGTGTAGAACAGCTCACAGTTTCACGGTTCCGTCCAGTCGGCCAGCTCACCATGTTGTGCGAATTTGTGCTGGGCTAGAAAAAAAAGTAGAAGAAGGTAAGGGTAAGCGTGGTCTCGTCAGCGCAAGTAATAAAAAGGCTGCGCTCAAAAGCACAAATAATAGTTCGTCCATGGGAGATCGGACTTCAGTTCATAGCTCGCCAATTTTTGAAATTCGAAGCATCTTTTTAGCACCCCTTTCTTCCTCGAGAAAATTTTAGTGGTTGGGTTAACTCTAGATGTAATCACACGAGCGTGCAACGTTTCAGAACTACTACAATTGGATTTCAATGCTGCCAGTCTTCATGAAAAACGCTGAGCAGTTAACTGATACAGAACTTCATGGCCAGTCTAGTTCTCCTTCCTAAAAATTTGCTCAGTTTTTTATTGAAAATGACTCTATGAAACTCTGCAAATTCTTAACTACTTCTGAGAGTAATGAGTCTGCATATTCATGGTCGCATGCTTCGTATATCTGCTTTATTTCGGTTCAGTTGCATTGCCTTGACTGGAGACTGGAAAGTGCTACGACGGCTCCAGAGGAGCGCCTTTTTGCACGATTTTTGTTTAGATGCTGAATATTATATTTCTCAAATAGGGAACGCGCTGTATTGAAAATGCTCCAACAGATTCAGGACATCACCACTCGGTATGACTTTGTTCAGCTGCAATGAGTAAGCGAATCCGTATTTTTTTCGTCCTGGCTTACTTTATGAATTCTTCACAACATGACTCACCCTTTCAGAACAAAACTCTCACAATGACTTTGCGAGGAAACGTCGATACGGGCGTAACCGAGCAAAAACGATAGTTACTTGTAGTGTTTTATTCATCTTCTCCCTCTCCCTCAGGGCGATGCCCTTACTACCAAGTAGCAGCCTTATATGGTCAAATGCTGTGTTACGCGTATAAGTATTTTTCGTACCATATTGCGATGTATACTCATCTATCTTATGAGAAAATCTTCTGCTCATCGACGGGCACCCTATTCCTCCATTAAGAAGCCACAAGTATCTAGCGACTTTGAGGTTCGCTAACCTGAGACAGTAAGACAAAATCAGCAGCTATCACTGTGCGTGCTCCTCAAGTGGAAGCAGTGATTTACCAGAGGTTTACCCTGTGCATCGGTTCCAATTGCCATTGTATAATAGTAGTCACGATGTTTGGTTACTTCGAACGGCTCTTCCCGGAAAAAGAAAGGGAAAGAAATCGCTGTATTGCTTACGAGAAGCGATGTGCTGAATTCGTAATCGAAGGGGTCGGTCGTGTCGCGAAGGAGTCAAACGTGTCTCCTACCTGCTTCCAGTCCCCTTTATCGAATTACCGAATCATGTTTGAGAAACTGAGAGGGTGAGAATGCCTTCTCTTTTGTCTTTATGAACGATTTGCGACATGCTGGAAAAACGTCTCACCTTGCCCATCTTCTTATCGTCACAACACTTGCACATTCATACAAATTTTTGCATGTTGCGGTCGTGACCATGATTCCAATTCTCGGACGGAATGCTAGAATTAACGACTCGTTTCTTCTCTGGAAGTGTTCTTGTTCTCTTATTGGTTAGGGTAGCCGGACCAAGCCTTTCTCCTCACTTCAGGGCACACATAAATCGTAGTTATCGCACCTCGAGTCATTGGTTGTCGTTGTTCTTTCATGAGTCAGCACGTGGTAGTTTGCCTGATTCTAGGGCGGTTGCACGTTTACCCGATTCAGATGATTCGATCGTTCGACCACAAATAAAATCACAAGAATACTCCAACATAGCAGACGACTCAACGATAAGGGGGAAAGACTTGCTAAAGTTCCCGAGGTGACTCATTTAATGCAACCAACGACCTATGGATACACAGGGTGTCCCAAAATTATGTGCGTCAACATTCAGAAATTTCTAGGATGAAAATAATCTATCAACTTCACATTTCCTGCTATTAATTAATTAGTTGCATATGAAGGTTTCCTTGCAATATGTGTGGTTACTGATGTGGAACTCCCATTATCTTTCAGATGGAGGAGGCTCATTCGATGCTACTTGCAATCATTGACACGCGGGAGGGCAGAAGGTGGAAGGGCATTATGAAATTCCTTGATTTTTATAATAACCGCATAGGAGGCTATTAAACGACACAGAAAAAAGATTGAATTGGAGACAAACCAAAAAAGTTAGAAAGGCCATTGTTTCTAACGAGAGTACTATGAGAATGGGCCGTCTGCCAGTCGGTCGGGGTCAGGGGTGACCCATCAATAGGAAATCAACGGGCACGGCCTATCGGAGTTATCGCGATGGAAGAATGTCATGCAGAAGCTTCATTGCCATTCTCACCGTATGTAGAAATTTCATTTCAATTCCGATCTCAACAGACACTGCAGGACCAAAAAATGCAGAAAGTCGCAGACCCGCTTGAGTGATGACACGCATCCCTTCATTGTTTTCTCTGGCCAAAAAATTTTCTTACGATAAAACCATCCCTCAACAACCAATACGTTCGCGTTCCGGAAAGAAACGTCTAGCGTGCAATCCCCCACAAAAAGGTTGCTATAAGAACAGTGAAATGATGTTTTTCGATGAAGTCACCGGTAAGGGTGAGACGCTCGTGGTTTCTTTGGTGCCAGCGTGGAAATTGACCAAGACCAGTGCTCAAAGAGCGTACCGATGAACGTAATAAAACACTGATCCGACTACGTTTTCTGAAACTTCACAAAGTCCATCCAGCAGGACGCTACTCCAGCTTACAGAGCCAAGCTTGCCCGCGAGTGGTGCCGACGACAGCTGACCGGCTTCATCGATAAAAAGCAATGGCCCCTCTTATTTTCCAGAGCTTGACTCACTTGACCCCCTCCCCGTATGGTTCCTGATCAGAAGAGGACCTTTCAAGTTTGCAGTCCCAGTTAGGAGCCCTAGAAAGCAAGACTGAAGATTAGCTGGGAAGAATTGGAGAAGGATTCATGCGTGCCACATGCGATCAGGTCGAGAGAAAAATTTGGCCTCTATCCGCGCTAACGGGGGTATTATGAATTGCGGTTGTAGCGTGTACTAGCAAATGGTATGTGTTAGCTAACGTGCATAGAAATTCCATCGTCTTTTGCAGCTGAAATGCTTCAAATACATTGCTATGAATTGGCGCCAATAATTTTGGGATACCCTGTACTTCAAGCTGTGGAGAAATCGCCGACACTCAGCACTAGTCGAGTTAACCCTTTGACGAAAATTCGGATTTCGACGTGACGGCTCATGGAACCACGCTCCCCTCCTTTTGCACGCGTCTGGCACCCACCGGTGGGTCATCAGTCTAGCTCAGATGGGTTCCCGTCTGGATTTCTTTTCGTCGGATTCGGATCCATTGAGGATCCGACGTTTCGTTGCTCCAAGGCGCTCGGAAGAGTGATAAGAATGCGACCTTCTCCTAAGCTTTTTGGCGAAACGCTTTTTCAATAAAGACTTCAAAAACCTCAGCGACATTGCAGCTCAATCCAAAAGATCTTTCGAGGGTCACAGCACAAGTACATGACTTGACAGTTCTTGCCTTTTTGCAAGCAGCGAACAAGTTTAGGCAATTTTTGGGAAAACTTGCTGGCTTTGGTTTACGCAGCTACCACTGGTCAGCATCGAGTTATCAGAACAAGTCTCAGGAGAGTCTTGCCTGATTTTTCAGTTCATCAGAATTGCAAGGACTGACAAACGAGTGACACGACACGTGGTTGCTGTGCGGGGAGGTGCTTGAGTCGCGTCTCGCACCATGCGAAATGAAACATAAGGACGGGAACACGGCATGCAACGGCAAACCAGCATTGAACTGTGCAACTCTAAGAGAGTGGAACTAATTCACTCACACCGTATAACACGAAAGAATTCGCGCACTTTTATTTCTCTGTGATATTGACACAGATATTATTGGTATTTGGTATTCACTGAGGTTATGCACAATCAAAACGAAGCAGCTATTGCTCCTCCAAACCACTTCTTGATCGTAGGTCTGCCACATCTCCAATCATAGGTCTTCGCAGACCTGTGATATGATGTGGCATTTCTATGATCAAGCGAACTCAAATTTTTCCTCAGGCACCAATACAAGTTACTGACAGTGACGCCACACGTTCTTCATCCAGTTGTCACTATCCGTATAGCACTTACGCACCGTGTTGCTGCAACAGCTAGTATGCGTTACCTCAACCAACACCATGTATCACAGAACCAGGAGCGGCTAGAAAGTTATTTACACAGTACAACAAAGGAGAAACAATGATATTATTTGTATCTAGAAGACAGGACTGTGAATATGAAGACAGTGAACTTGAACGCTTGCGCGATTCGTGAGATAAGCACCAGGAATTCGTCAGGATGATATGATTGTGACACACCATCTCGGTGTAAATTTCGTGCCAGTCAAAGCCCGAGTTCTAGGCAGCTGTGACTGCCCACACAAAACTCTGCCAATGAATGCACTCCGGAGATAATGACGACAAACGTAAAGCTAACCTTCCAGAATGGGATAAGGCTCTTGCTGTCATATCCCTTGTTGCGGCAAGAACCTCGCAAAAAATGAATGGGGTACTTCACTACTCCGCAGAAGTAGGAGATAAGGGTTTTGCCTTGCCGACTGCGCAGCTACACATACCCCAACTTTGCCGGCTGAATGGCTCACAATTAACAAAGTTATTCCCTACTGAATGATTTCCCTCGAGCATTGGAATCTACGTTTGTAGTTGCTATCGCTTCGAATCTGATGACAATACCCACATACTACCTTATTGGTCCGGCTTTTTGTTAGCACTCATGAAACTAGTGCCAACCATCCTCTCTCAGCTAGTGAAATCGATTGTGCAGCTCTTTGTGACGACATTTCATCATTGTGAAGCATCGTACGTTGGTTTGCACAAAATGGAAAACGCCTACCGACAGACTATAAGGCCACAGCTGTGATCCTTTTTCCTGCCCAAGCATCGTGTTCCAATCAGCAATCATCTTGGCACATTTATGCCGGACGAGACTGACGAAGAAATATGTCTCGTAGAATAAGAGCAGATTGGCAAGCTGGACATAACCAATAGTACGCTTCAAGATCTCACCAATCGCTCTAGATGACAATATGCGACGAATGCTCGAATGAAAGCCGGTCTTGCTAGTTTGATGAAACGCACAGATTCCCAGTCTCTTGCGTTTTACACCAGTTCTACAGCCACCACACAGAACTATGTCATCGGCGTTCAGACCCAGTAAGCCGTGCAATGCGAGTAGCGTAGTTTTTGGAGTCGGTGCCGCACCATGCAGAGTTTCCTGCAGCATCTGCCATAGCAGCCACAACACTGTTCATCGTTCTGATATCCCTTTGAAGAAGCGCAAGAGCTGATTCCATAGTTCTACACCCCCTCTCCCCTCTCCCCGTACTCTTTCGTCGCATCCCTAATTACTATACCGCAACGCCGACCCTCGTCTTTCCCTCTACTCCATCACCCATCAACCTTCATTCCATTATTCGTACCGCTCTTAAACATCTCCTTAGTATTCTTTGCGACTTAATTTGTCGACCGAACTGATAAATGCCGCCTTTTGAGTTCTCGCGTAGCCAACGCACCATTATTTTGCCGACCACTACAACGGAGTTTGCGTGACATCGTTCTTCGACCAATAGTCCTGTGCAAAAGTGCAGATGACCCAACCGACGTCAACCTAGGAATTGAGTACATCGATCGAAGCATGCAATACCGACTTTTGTGCTTTTTGTCATTGTCACACATTCCTCATTGGGTCGCGCCGGCCCTCGTCCATGTATTTTATTTCGCATGGTAGCGACCCGCCCGACGGTCTACCACCTCAACGTGGTGGTGGGGGGGGGGGGGGGGGGGGGGGGGGGGGGG